AAGCCTTTTCCACAATGACTGCATACGTAGGGTTTCTCTCCTGTATGAATTCGGTGATGAATAGTGAGATGGCTCTTTCTGATGAAGCCTTTTCCACATTCATGGCATATATAGGGCTTCTCTGCCATATGTGTTTTCTGATGTTCATTGAGCTGTGGCTTATGGAGATAAGCTTTGCCACATTCTGAGCACTGATACAGTTTTTGTCCTTTATGAATTGTATGATGATGCTCAAGAAGCTTGAAGTTTTTCAAGAAGGCTTCCCCACACAGACTGCAACTATAGGGTTTCTCTCTAGCATGAATGATCTGATGATCAGCAAGTAAGGACTTTTTAATGAAGATTTTCCCACATTCCCTACCTGCATGCAGATTCTCTACTCTGTGGGTTTTCTGATGCTTAATGTATTGAGATTCAGTGCTGCTTGAATTTTGGCTCTCAAGGAATTTAACTGCAGTGCAAAATTGCTTGTGGCCAGCTTGAAGAAAGGCTTGTACGGCTTTTTCACCTCTGTGAAGTTTGGCAGACTTATTTACTACATTGCTTCGTCTCTGACGGACGGCTGGTGAAGCTAAATTTGATTTCACAGGTCTTTCAGATAGATCAAATATACCACGATTTTCCCTTAAAGGAGAAAGGTTTTTGTGCCGAGGAACAGTATTTTCCAATGCATTATCTTCATAGCATTGTTCCATCCTGTCCACCCTTCTTTCCTTTGGGAAGTGCCCGGGCAGACAATCATTCACTTCCTGGATTTCTAGGGGAAAAGATAACAATGACTCCTTTCATCTTCTTAGTTGTAACAGAGCCTTTTTTTTTTTTTTAATTAAAAATTTTTTTCTTTTTCTATTTATTTATTTATTTTAACAGAGACTTTTTTTTTTTTTTTAAGGTCCATTCATGTAAGGGGGATCTTTCAAAATAACCTTATGATGTGAGTGTCAATAAAACACCATAGTTTATTATCCCTTGCATACTGTTAAAAACAAAATAATACAAACACTCCAAGAAAGTGAAAAACAAGGAGTAGAAACAAGGTTAGATAGTGCATAGTGAATAAATGCAGATTTGGCTTCTTTTTTAAATCAGGAACTGAAAAACATGAGAAGATAAATAACTAAATAATTAACTAAGCCCACCTGGAAGAAGCACACCAGCCTGTGTAATCAGGAGGTGTCGATAGGATCAGATATCAGGCATCAAAGAACAAAAAATCATATCACTGTGAATGAGGGGGAGTGCAGATTGGAGACTCAAGACCCATCTGTAAGCAACTGGATATCACCTTATAGAAGGGTCGTAGGGAGGAGACGAG